CCCCAAAACCCCAAAACCCCAAAACCCCAAAACCCCAAAACCCCTCCCAGGAAGATATAATTCATTAAAAATTATTTAGAATCATGGACTCCCAGAGAAATGAGGATAACAGACAAACTGTCATCGACTACCCCGAGTATGATCAGTATCCTGATGATGAGTACGAGCATCGGTTCTCACTTCATTCAGGAGCTGATATAAGTAAAAATGTTAGGTTTTTATATTTTAGGGCTGACTAATAACCAGATGATGCCTGATAGCGCGGACCACGCTAATCGTGAGGTCATCCAAGAAGACATTGGGAATTATTACGGTAGAGGAACTGATATGCGTCAAAACCAAGTTCCCCCACTAAACTTCAACAATAACTTCGTCCAAGACTATAATTTATCAAATGAGCAAGCTTATCAGATCCTACCCAAAGGAAAGCAGAACAGTACCTCCTCTGTAGGTAAGACCATAACCTTTGGGCTATCCGAATGCCGATCAGAGTAACTGTACTAGACCCTACTCTTGAGCATGACTCCTTCAATGTTCAAATTTTTTTTATCATTCACTAGATTTGGTTTTTACTAAGATATGGTCTAGGTGGCAAAACTCTGAAAGATCGAATGGATGCACTAGACGAGATACACCCAATTCATACAGAAATAGACGAAGCCTCTGAAAATGTAGAAGCTGATGAACGAGAAGGCAACGGAGATTTCATCCAAAGGCAAATCTCCCTCGAGAAGGACGCATACAGTGAATTCAACGAGAATACCTCCCAAGCGAATTATTACAACCAGCTTGAGATTGAGAGACGGATGGACAGAATGGGAGTCAACCCACAAATGAATGGTAAGGATGATTTTCAAGAGGAAACACCTTGAGTCTCCATTACTGTAGGCTTTTAGCCTATGAACAAATCTAATAATATAATGTATAGAATTTACAGGTCCTTCTCAAGATTTTTCAAGCAACATAAATCCAATGCAGACACCGTCCCGAAGAATAGACGAGAGTTTTCAAAATATGAATGAATACCAGAGCCAAGCTCCTGGCCCTCTAATGAGTGAGGACCAAAATACAGCCCAGAACGACCAAATGATTATGCAATACGAATCTGTCCTACAAAACGTTAACAGTGAGTTCCAAAAACTTTTGGAGAAGAACAAGCAATGAGAGGAGGAGCTATCGATGACTAAAATCCAACTAGAAAAGTCTCAGGTTGCTCTGGAGCAAGAACAAGGTAAATCTTTAGCTAAGCTCATATCTAGCGAACCTAGCAAGCAGGATGAACGAGGAAAAGAAGTTAGAGATGGTCAAGTTAGAGAAAAATGAAATCGAGAATGAGAATAAGAGTCTCAGAATGCAGATCGGCCAGAAAGATGACGAGATTGAACGCCTCCAGAATCGTATAATTCAACTCGAGCACGAAGCAAGTCAAGTACCTGCTTTGAGAGCTCAGCTGGACGATCTTGAGAGTCGTAATCATCAGAAGGAAACAACTACAAGAGAGAAAGAAGAGAGTATTTTGAAGACAGAGAGCGAGCTCAGAAATATGGAAAGAGTTGAAGGGGTCCTTAAAGCTGAAATTGAAGAACTTCTTGAGAAGAGAAAGGGACTTGAGGAAATAAACCAAACTCTCAAAAATCAAATCTGCGAATGTAATATCGCTCTCAGACAAATGGCATCACAACTGGATTCTAGCAAGCGAGAGAATATGGCCCTTACAAATAACGTTGAGATCTTTAAAAGAAGTGAAGAGCAGCTCAGAGAAGAAAATTCTAGTTTGAAGGAATTAGTTAACAACATTGAAATAGAGAGAATTCATTTTAGAGCTAGTTGTGAATTATTACAAAGAGACTTAAGCTTTGCCAAGAAAGAAATAGCTTCATATATTGCTAGTGAGAATAGAGTGATGAATATTGGGTTGCCAATGGGTAATCTCCATAATTATCCAAGTCAAATACCAAAAATTAACCCTGATTCCAATGGTCCTCCTAATAACTTCCAAGGACCGATTCCAAATCCTCAAGTTAATGCAACACCTCTATCACATTCTGGCCCTCAAAATGTAGGACCAAATTCTCAAGAAACGTTTAAGCCTCCTCAAAGTGCTTTTCCCTCTCAAGAAGATATGGCGAAAAGATTTGGAGATATGAGTCTAGAAGAGTTCAAGAAAGCAACAATTCCTGCCAACAATATGCCTAATACGATGGGAAATCAGCCTCCTGCTGGATCTTCATCTGTAAGTGTTCTCTTTATCCTTTCTAATAACCATAGAAGCCAAAGCTACCACAGCATTTAGCTTCAAGCATCACATTCGATGATAATGACGGATCTGAGCAATACTACAGAAAGAACCAGACTACAGATCCTACTCAAGCACCCCAAAACAACCCTCCTGCTGACTCAAAAGTTGCAGGGATTCCATCTGTCCCTAACCTCCCTACTGCAGGAATTCCCACACCCAAAGACCCTCAACCAGGGCCTTCCCTACCCCAGTTCACTCAAGGCTCCCAAAACTCCCAGCCCAGATTTCTAAATCCACCAGTACAGCATAACCCTCCAGGCCCAGCTCCAGGCCCTCACTCTACTCCCCAAGCTCCATCTCAAAATCCTTCAGCGCCCAGTTCCTTCCAGATACCTCAAGGGCCTGCACCAGAGATGAACAGCGATCAAAAATTTCAAAAAATCCACACGCTTGAAAACTCACTGCTCTCTTTTCAGATGGACAAGGACAGGCTGGTTGCGGAACTTGGCAAAATCCCTGAAGCTCATAGTAAGAGTCACCACCAGCAGCAGAGGAAGGCTGAACTTGAGCGAGAGATTTTTATAGCAGGTAAGCAAGGGTTGGATAAGGTTTAGACAAGAATATTAATACAGTTAAGCTGAAATTGAGAGATTTGAAGAAATAAGGCAGCTGTACCCCTCTAGGATAATTTCTGAGCGTTTGGAATCAGATTTTACCCCTAGGGATTGGAGTTTGAGAGGTTTTGAATTTCAATAATTTTTTGGAATATTGGGGTTTTGGGGTTTTGGGGTTTTGGGGTTTTGGGGTTTTGGGG